TATCTAAGAGGATAAAAGAAGATGGTCCTGGTATCATTTAAAATATTTAATCAAAGTTGTTTGTGTCGTGGCTGGTGATGGCACTGTTACAATATATTTTATTTATAAAACAAACTGTGTCATTGATGTTAAAGAAAAATGTAGGTATCAAATATTTTTTGTAGTTTGCATGCTTATAGGTTACCTGTTAAAAATTGGGAACTAAACGCAATATTGAGCCCCTTTATTTATTTAAAGACTGCTATTGTGTCTCTCCAGAGTCTTCTCTTCTCCAGGCTGGGCAATCCCAACACTCTCAGCCTGTCTTTGTAGGAGAAGTACTCCAGCTCTGTGACCTGTTTTTGTGTCCCTTCTCTGGACCCACTTCAAGGTGTCCAGGTTTTCCAGGTGCTGGTGGCACTGGATGTGGTACTTCAGGTGGTGGGTGTCTCCCTAGAGCTGGGAAGAATCACCTCCCTCGCCCTACTGGTCACTGTTCTTTTGATGTAGTTCAGGACATAATTAGCTTTCTGGGCTGCAAGCACACATTGCCAGTTTATGTACAATCTTTTTGTCCACCACTATCCCCTAGTCAATTTCTGCAGGGCTACTCTGTCCATTAATTTCCCTAGTCTGTATTGATGGTGGTGGTTGCCCTTTCCCAGGTGTAGGACATGGCACTTGGCCTTGTTGAACTAGCTGGAGTTCACATGGTCATACTCTGTGAGTCTTGCCACGTCTCTCTGGGTGGCATCCTGTCACTCCAGTGTGTTGACTGCACCACTCAACTTAGTGTACTGCATCCTACTGTCTGTAGTGTTCGGAACAACTGTAGTCTCTTGGAACTTAGTAAGCCTTCCCTGCGCATCTCATTTCTAGTAATACAACTTGGGACTACCATAGACATTTGTTTGATGTCTGAGTGATTAGTGTGGTATTTTGGGAAATTCTTCAACACACAAATTATCATTACTCTTTTTGGCAGCATGCTGCTCAGTGAGATTGAGTGGTTTTATCATTGTGGAAGGCTGTGGTAACTTTGAGGCGGTAGTAGTCTGGGCAATATATCTATCTTTAGCATTTTATCGTGCTAGTGTTAGTTTGTTTTAAAAAAAATAAAATATGGAAGAGGTGTCCACACTTGGAGAAAAGGAAAAATCTGATCAATATGAGTTTATATGAACTTCATGCTGTTCGGTGTGGAATGGAATTATTAGACAATAAAAGGAGAGGGCAGATACTAAACGGAAATGCAAAATGCCCGAAGAAACATTTTCTTTGCAAATGTGACAAAATTATTCTTGGCATTTTTGGGTCAGGCTGATGTTTAGGTTGTTACTGTGATAGAAATTTATGTAATTATCTGCTCCTTTAATGCAGAGACTTTATCTTGAAGCTATGGATCATAGGATCTGAAGCAGCAGATCATAGGATCTGTATGAATCTGTGCATTTGTACAGATCATGTACAACTCTATCTAAAGGATATGTAAATAGCAACATTTAGGTATGACTGTTCAGTGCTTTTTCTTTTCTTTCTTGAAGCTCACATGGTTGATACTGGAATAAAAATGTATTTTATAAAGTGACTCTAATATTATTTATTGTTGATAAAAGAAATACTTCCTGAGCCAGAATTTTACAGAGATAGGAAACTGACTGTTGCAGCATATCAGAATGTTAGATGTTCTCTTTTTGACATCACTTCAGAATGCAGGATGGCCATTATGCATGACCTATGCAAATGCCTTAATTTTTGTAAATCTGTGTTTTGGAGTAGTTTTAGGCAACATTGCCTCGTGACAGCTCTCTCAGGCTCTGCCTGAGGTCTTTAGCATACATTTGGCTTGTTTTATCTCTTCCTAGCAAGTCTTTGAAGCTTGCTTTTACATAGATATATTGAGATCAAATATTCTTAATTTTGTCTTAATGCAAGTTTGGGGTGGCTGATAACCAGAGATGGAGTAAGACTTTAAATACCAATTAAAGCTGACCATATCGCAACTTCTTGGAAGTATTTTGTTAGCATCTAATACTGGTTCTGTTTGCAGTTCTCTGCGTTGTGTATTTCGCTTACATAGCTCTAGTCTTCTGAATTAGCTTTTTATATGGTACCATGTTCTAATGCTAGGGAAGTGCACAAAAGTACCCTGAGCCAATATTGGTTCCATGTCTGAGAATGTGAAATTTGCAGACTCTTTTGAATGTTGCCTAATGTAATATAGCAAGAATTTTGATGATTATCTGATTTAAACTGAGAAAAGCTACTACTCTCAGTAGTTCATCACAATTTAGTGAGTAAGGAAAGATTTGTGTTTTTATTATGCACAACACTTCCTTCAGGGTTTTTGCTAGGTGTTATTTTTTGTTATTAAAAAGAAATACGGATATGAGTTTCAAATTTATCTACAAGGAGGATTGAAAGCAGAATCAGCCATTTGCATTTTGTTCTTGTTTGTTCAATAGGTTGTTTCTTCTGTATGTGTTTATGTACATATAAATGTAAATTGCTTTAGATTGCAGCCTCTTACGGAAGGGTGATTTGTATCTTTGAGCCAGTTAACCTCTTGAAGCAGAGCAACAGTCATCATAATGTAAGTATTTCATCACTCCTTAATTTATTTGAGCAGTTACAAAGCCTGACTTATTTTTCTGGTTTGCTTTAAAGTTGAAAGCTTTTTTTATGTCTTCTTTCCATTCTGGAATAAAATTGAGACAAGATGGTCCTTGGAAGTAAAAATGGTGGGCTAAAGACAGAGATCTGTTGTTTGGAGTAGTTGTAAGAAAGATAGGTTTTACTGTATTATCTCATATTACTTATTTAAGTAACCCTATGTTTCATAATGGAAATATTCCAGAACCCAAGAAGACCCCATTCTGTGGAGTATAGCCACTACAATAGGAATTCTTTTTTGAACAATCCTGTGTACCTTTTATGTTTTGATGTGTTTTAGAATTCTTATTTTAACTTTCGCTTATGAAACTGTGTGCTCTGGGCCAAACCTTTAATAGTTTCAAAAAGTCTATGGCTTTATTAGAATATCTGACTGAATGCTTGTACTTCGGTGTTAAAATGGTTATAAGATCAATATTTATTCTCTTAGGGCTTAATTTTGGTGACATTGGTTTAGTGATTAACATCCAGAATACAAGTATCTGAATAATAATATGATTTAGAACAAGTTATTTAACCATGCTTCTTACATGAGGACGATTACTTTTATAATTAGAAGCATTAGATTCTAATTAATGTCTGTTTGATGATATGAGAACTTTGACAACAATTGCTCAGGGAACTTCTGTCTCCGACTTCAGAGTTTGGTCTCTCCATTTGTATTAACAAATTGTTTATATGGTCATCAGGTGGATTCCCCTTTTTGTGCTAACCAACTCAGTCATATGATTGTCCATGTATCTGTAAACTTGTGGTATTAAATACTAATTAAGTAGCTGGTAGTGAATATACACATATATGAAATAATTTACATCACTGGAAAGCAGTGAAATAAAATAATGGTAATGTGTGAGTTTCTATACTCATGTGAATATTTTAGAATCATAGAATCGTGGAATCACCCAGGTTGGAAGAGACTTCAAAGATGGAGTCCAACCCTCCTGTGGTTGCTAGACTATGGCACTAAGTGCCACATCCAGTCTTGTCTTGAAAACCCCCAGGGATGATGAATCCACCTCCTCCCCAGACAGCCCATTCCAATACCTGACTGCTCTCTCTGTAAAAAATCTCTTGCTAATATCCAACCTAAACCTCCCCTGCCAGAGCTTGAGTCTGTGCCCTCTTGTCCTCCTGCTTGTTGCCTGTGAGAAGAGACCAACCCCAACCTGACTACAACCTCCTTTCAGGTACTTGTAGAGGGTGATAAGGTCTCCCCTGAGCCTTCTCTTCTCCAGGCTAAACAATCCCAACTCCTTTAGCTTCTCCTCATGGCACTTGTGCTCGAGTCCCTTCACCAGCCTCGTTGCTCTTCCTTAGAAGTAGTGTTCTCTTTATTGGCCATTGGATCCATTGAATCCATTCTGGGTGTTTTTCTATACTGATAAATAGTATGCTTAGCTTGAAACTTTGAAGCTAGCATAGCAGTAAGCAGTAGAGGAAGCACTCACCACCTGTGATTTGCTTATAATATTGATAATTGAAATATTCTATTACTTCATTCTTTCAGTTAACTATCCAATGATTTTAAGCATACTGGTACAGGTTGCTGTAAGGTTGTCTCTGTCTTTCATGTTTTCTACCAAACTCCTGAAAGCTTTGAGTTGTCACATTTTAACTTTCACATCTATTTGATGTGATATTTTTGGAGTGGGGGATGGTTGCTTTGCTTTCAAAAAGTCAGTGAATTAAGAGAAACACTTCTTAGCTCTTAATGTCATCTCCTGTAATATTTTCAGTTTCTTTTATAATTCAAAGCATCAAACCTTTACAGTCTATTATGGAAACAGACCAGGTACATATTTTGTGAGTTTAATCATCAATTTATTCCAGTGAGTGGTCAGTGGTGACACAAAAACTGAAGAAAATTGACTGTCCTGTTATATGTTAAAAAGCAGGAGGGAAGGGAAAGTAGGAGGTATCCTTTAGTTATCTTAACCTTATTGAAATCCTTTAATTCAACAATGGTATGGATACCAAATACCATGTGAATTTAATGCATTTAATTTTTGATGTATCTTTCCTTTGTTCCAAAAGTAAAATGATGCTTCTCTTTGAAAATATCTCAGATTCTGATGATGATTTTATGTACTGTATTTTTTTCAATCTGTATTTGTAAAATGAGAAATCGGAAACTTCTATATGTATGGTCATATTAGTGAACAGTTGTTCTGTTTGAAAGTTAGAATGAATCAATTTTTATTATTGGATAAACAGTAACTTACTTTAAATGTCCTTCATAACAGTGAATGCACTGAAAATAGACAATTTCTGTTATGGAAAGAGAAGGGAGGAGAAGGAAGTGTTTTCATGCTAATGTTTGTAAATGCTTAAAATTTCAGGTGTTACATTGTCAGTGGCAGAAGAATGCTCAAATCTTACTGGAAGCCATAGCACATAACCTAACATGGGATCCCACAGGTAAGAACAGAGTAAAAGAAACACCTATCTATTTGATATCACAACTAATTTTTTATTTGAATTTTACCATTCTTTGAGGACAAGAAAAAGGTTTTTGCTTTGTCCTAGCATGATAGAGAACACCAAAGTGGAGCAAAACCTATCTTTTGTCACTTATTATAGGATAACCAAAATTTTTATGAGAATATTATGATCTCAGTGGATCCTAATGTTTATAAACATGGCTTAAATGGTAAATATTTGTGGAGAAAGAGGGATGTCTGGAGGCAATCTAGGTGTTTCTTTTGGAGAATAACTAAAATTTGGTTAATTTTAACAGTTTGAACTGTAGATGTAAAAAAAAAAACTTAGAAAAGGTGCTATCTGCCATACTTTGTTCTGCAGTTTCAGCTTTGCAAAAGTTTTTTTTCCCCCTCTTTCTTTGCAGAAGTCTGTGTTTTGTGGTTAGATTTTTACAAATATTTGTTTTAGGTACTCGCCTTTTGACTGGTTCCAATTGTCTTCAACTTTGGTCCAGTGTTCGTTTGGAAAATCCTTCTGACAATACTGAGAAAACAACATATGTTGGACTCGGAGAATGGAGGTGTATCTGGCAATGCAAGTAAGAAAAGCATTTAAAGACAAGTAGCTCTTTTTTCCTTGCTGATTCATACCTTTCAGATAAGGTACTTAATGTAGGTCGGTGAAATCCTATTGCATACTGTTAATTGATAAATGTTATTGATATGTGATAAACTTGAATTATATTTCCCTTGATAACATGACATTTCTTTCTTCTTATGAGATCGATTGTAATTGGCTTTGTAGTAGTTCATGTTCTTAACTGTTTTTCAGTTATATTGAACACTAGTAAAATGCTGAGGCAAGGCTACTGTTGAAATTGTTGCAGTAGACATGGTTCATGGTACAAGAAGTAAGGTGAAAGCTGCATAATTGAAAATGATTGTGCTTGAGATACTGATTAAAATAAGCTTCCTCCTGTGTTCAGTGTACTCCAGCTTTCTTTCCTTCTCACACATCTCTCCCCTTTCACACTTTTACTTATTCTGTGTTTATTCTGCATATTTGAACAGCCATGCAAAGGCGGATATGTTCTGCTTTATGATGTCTGTGAATGCTCTTCTTGTATTCATACTCATTTTAATATTTGTGGCTGTGTATTGGTACATTCAGACAAGTTTCAGTTTAGTGCTTCAGTATATAAGAGAAGTTAAATCAAGTCCTTCCTGCCATAGGAAGACTTTTCTAATACACTGGGTGCAGTACTCACTTGGGACCAGTGTGCCATATGTCAGTCTCCTAAAGAAGTTTCCCTGAAGTGGGAAGGGAGGGACCCACCTGAAGTTATTCTTTATGAAATGTTTAGCACTGCTTGGGTAGTTCTCTGGATGTACCAGAAAAAAGTCTGATTTTTAATCCTTCAGTTATTCCTTTTTCTCTGTGCTTGAACTTTTATCAACAATATGTTTAAAATCCCAAGAGCATTCAAATGACAACTGAAATTTTTTTCTTTGCATAGAATGTACTTTCTGAATACAGGAAGTTGAGTGTTGCACATTGTAGCGCCCTCAGCTACAGAATTTTGGTTTTCGGGTTTTCTTGTGTGACCTAACCATGTGTTGCAGGTGTGTCCTAGTCCTGTTGGACTTGGTTAAAACTCAGCTGTTTCATACAGTACAATAGCTACTTGTATAAAGAATTGAGTAACTTATGAGTTCAAGGGGAAAAAACTGTTACAGAATTCTAAAAAATAAATTCTTAAAATTCATTTTTCTGTTTCTAAATCTGTTTATTTCACAGAACTGCGTCTCAAGTTTGTTTAATGAAATTCTCACCAGATGGGGAGTTTTTTGCTACTGCTGGCAAGGTAAGCATTTTTTTTCTAATAGTTTTGTACTAATTCAGTTATGGTATAAAACCAAAGAAACAGAAACCCATGGGAATGGGTGGATGAGATCATCTGTGGATGAGATCACTGCTGGATATCCTTCTAGTGAGGAAATACATTCAGTATTTCACTATTATTATGACATGTTTAAAATAGCTTTTTGATATGTTTTTGTGTATGCCTATTTGTGTACATAGAGGAGGATTCACAGTCACTGCTTTCAGATTACTGTTTTAAAAGAAGTACCTGAAAACTTAACAGTTCTCAACGGTTTTCACACTGATTAATAGAGGCAGGTGGTCATGCTACCAGCTAAAGAATCTAGCAGAGGCTGCAGAGTTATTAGAAAAGAAACAAAATGCTGGTATGTAAGGTTAATTGAGACGATGCAATTGCTGAGATTAGTTAAAATCTGCTTTGTGTCACAAAATCCTGAGCAGTAGTAACCTGACAAAATGAGTTTCAGGTTGAAGAATGAAAGACAGTTGTGCAATTTGCTTTAGTCGGTCTTGGAAACATGAATGAAAAAATAATGTGATTAGAGCAGTGCTTGATGTAGTAATAGAGTATGGAACTTTGCTGTTTGGATTATAATGTCCCTTAATATGTGCTTGAAAATCAAAGATGCAACAGTGGTTCAGTCTGCAAATTAATCTTGCTTTTGAAAGGTAGTTGTAATGCATAGTTTCCTGATTCAGTTTCGTGCATCATGAACAGATGAGTAATACGCTTATTGGTTAGTGGTAGGTGTTTGTTTTTTCCTTTAAAGAGTGCCATTTCAGGTCATTACGCTTGCTAGGACGACTAATTTTTAGTGCATTTGCTATTTTTAAAGAAGAGATAAAGATGTAACAAATCTGTAAAATAGCATAGACGTTTTTTTCCAGGGAATCTATATTCCAGTTGACTAGTTTCCAAAATACGAAGTGAAATACTAGATTTTTCTTGATAATTAAGTGTATTCTGTATTATAATAAAGCAACAGCTTCTCATGCTCCATTTCTTAGTTGCTTATTTGGATATCATTTTGCTTACTCTATGTTCTGTGATGTCTTTAGCCATTTACTGATGGAAAGGAGAGCCATTCCTGCCATGTTTCAGATAACTATTGCTTATAACATTTTTTGAGTACATGTTTTATTTTTAAAACGGTGTTTTGTTATTGTCAGCAGTGTATACTATATGTATTTCACTTTTTTTGATTGGCAGGAGGTAATATTTGTTTTCTAAGTCAAGTTTTAGTGGATTGAAATGTTATAATTTGGAGTTGTGGAAAAATGAATTAATCTGCAAATAGCTTCTTGCAGAATTTTTTACTAGGATGTCTTATGTCCTCTTGTGTTACCTTGCATTCTAAACTCGTGAAAAGCAAAATTACTGAATAAATAAGAAAAATACGTAAGTAGGAAAATGAATAACTTACTTTTTTACTCTAAATGCCTACATTAGTTACCTGCCTGGAAAATCTTTCAAACGCGTCTTTGTTTCTGTATCTTAGCTCTTCATTTATGAGGAAGGATTCTGGTCTGCAGAGCCAACTCCTCTTCCCCCCAGTAGTAAGGTCATGTTATACATACCCAGGTTAATACATTATTTCAGTGCCCTTCATATTTAATATTTGATCAACAAATTATGAATCTTAGATCCAGATTAGTTTAGCTAGTCCTTGAAGGCATAATCAATTTATGCATGTATCTAAGAAAAGCAGTACTGAGCTTGATTTTTGATATGTGATCTATGACCTTTGCTTGTTTTTCCAACACTTAAATTTGTGCAGGTTTTGGAAGTTTTCTGACAAGGTACAATTAGTTGTTTTAACATTTGAATACCATCTCAAGCCAGTACAGCTTTTATTTTTGTGGTTAAAAATTGACAGCCAATCGGAAGGAACAAAATGAAATCCAAGTGAGCAGTGGGAAGAGAGTTAAATGAAAGCTGTGCCACTATAAATTCTTCAAGATCAGGTTGTGAAGTTGTATGTGATGAACTCTCTGTGATCAGATAAGTATCTTACTTAAAAGAAAAATTAAACCTCAAGAGACATACCCAGAAGTATGGGGTCGATGTTGGGCCCAGTTCTCTTTAATATC